ACTGGGGGTTATCTGGTCCTGGACCGCAGCTACACTGGGACTGTGTTCGCCCTCGACGCCAGAATCCATGTCATTGTCCAGCAATTGAGAAGGAACCATCGGCGGGAGGCCGCCTCAGGATCCGCGCAGGGCCAGTCGGACGCGCCTCAGGCGGAAGGCAATGTTCATGGAGACAAGGAAGACGAAGACACGATCGTCGTGCACTCCCCACAGTTCGTGGATGCGGTATGGGAGTATAGCATACAAGGATGCGAGGACGGTGGAGGAGTCCTAGTGAAACAGAGAAATGATGGGTAAGCAACAATATTATAGTACCACCAAATGCTCAAAACCTGACCCATCCAGGCCACGCAACCCATTTGTCGAGACCTCTTTGAACTTCGCCTTGACCTACATCAGCTATGTGGCGGACTCTAAGGATTTCGGGTCATTATCGATTACTATCCTCGCCGACAACGATTACTATTCCGAGACGGCCTTCTCCAAGGCTTCGGGACTCCGGTCGTCAAGCAGATTCGTGGACTTTGGTGTTCGCCTTCAGGAGGCACACAAGACGGGCCTGGGCTCTTCAGCCGCCTTGGTCACTGCCTTGGTGTCGTCTCTCGTCATCCACCGTACTATGCAGCCCGACGACCTCGGCCCAGGCCGCGATAAGCTTCACAATCTGGCCCAGGCGGCCCACTGCGCTGCGCAAGGTAAAGTCGGGTCCGGCTTCGATGTTGCAGCTGCCATTTACGGCTCCTGTCTTTACAGACGCTTCTCCCCCTCGATCCTCGAATCAGTCGGCGACGCTGGTTCTCCAGGCTTCGAAGAGCGCTTGTTTCGGATCGTGGAAGACGCCGACCCCCAGCATCCTTGGGACACCGAGTGTCTGGATTTCGGCATGAAGCTCCCCCGGGGAATGCAAATGGTCCTTTGTGACGTCGAATGCGGCTCGCAGACTCCTTCCATGGTGAGGAAGGTTTTGGAGTGGCGTAAACAGAATCAGAAGGAGGCCGATATGCTCTGGGGTGCTCTGCAATCGAACAACGAAAGACTTCGCCTGGAACTCAGACGCTTGGCACAGAGCCCGGACGAGCATACCCTCAGTGACTTTGAAAATGTCCGCACCTACATTCAGCGCTCGCGTAACCATATCCGTACCATGACTCAAAAGTCTGATGTCCCAATCGAGCCGCGCGTCCAAACAGAACTACTTGACGCTCTGTCCGAGCTGGAAGGTGTCATCGGCGGTGTGGTTCCAGGAGCAGGGGGCTACGACGCCATTGCGCTCCTCATCCAAGACAGTCCCGATGTGATCAGCAGAATGAATGCCTTCTTTGAGACTTGGGAGAGCAAAGTGGAGGACGATTTCAATGGCAAAATTGGGAAAGTCAGGCTTCTTGGCGTCCGCCATGGATCAGAGGGAGTCAAGAACGAGATGCTCGACCAATATGCGGGCTGGGTGTAGGGGTAAGCTTCCACACCCGCCTTGAGAAATGACTACAAGGTCGACTCTGCGTCTGATCTTTGTTATTCTCGACTTTAAAGTTAGTGATGGATGATGATGGCATGACAATAGCATAGCATGAGCGTGACCGCGATGGTATTACTCAAGCGTCAGGCAAAGATTCAATTTGAAAATTTATATTATTGTCTAAGCCCCCTAATGACAAAATTACTGACACTGCAGCGAGCAGACTAGCACAATTAGCAGTCGAGACCCATATAGGCTACGTTCTTTTAGAGTAGCAGCAAGCTGCTCGAACATGAAGATCCCAACAGCAAGGAAATTTCTTTTGTCATGACTAGCTCTCTATCTGACAGGAGGCTGAGCTCTATGGTTTCGATACCTTCATTCTCAGCACTGACATCAGATGCTCAAGACATGCTGTTAGTACACCTCAAATCGCCTCAAAAGTGACAGGACGCCAAATTCATCAACTATAAATGATTAACCGTGTCATTCAAAGAAAAAAGCCCCAACCAGACCAGCCGGTTTATAGCTGAGTAGGCTGGAAAGACGAAAACTCCGCCGTCGCCGCCGGATCCCTCTCCATAACTCTCTCCTCAGTCTTCTCGTTATCGTTCAGGATCCCATACTCCGCCGCCTTGGCCTCGATCTCCTCGTCCGAAAGCCGCGGCAGCTCCCTCGCGGCACGCACGTAGTTCATTTTCTCCACATAGCCCTTGGCGAAAATCAGATCGATTTCTTCGAGACTCCGGCCTGCGGTTTCGGGGTAGAAGAACCAGATGACCGGAATAAAAACGGCGTTCCAGGCCGCGAAGAAGAGGTACGTGCCCCAGCCGATGTGCTCGATCATCACGGGGGTGATCATGACGACGGTGAAGTTGAAGAGCCAGTTGTTGCAGGTTGAGATGGCGTTTGCCTTTGCGCGGGTTCTGAGAGGGGAGAGTTCGGCTGGGTAGAGCCAGGGGAGGGGGAGCCAGGTCGCGCCGAAGAAACTTGATGTGGAATTAGTACAAAGTTGGGAAGTTTCAGGGCGGGGAAAGGAGCTGGGGTCGGTGACGTACCACATGTACAGGAAGAGACCGAAGACTGCGCCCTTGGCTGTCTGCGCGTCGCCAGGGATCAGGCACGCGAAGACGATGATCATCGCAGCGCACTGGCCGAAACTCCCTCCAAGGAAGAGCTTGCGCCGGCCGATCTTTTCGATGAAGAACCAGGAGAATGTGGCGAAAATCGCGTAGCAGATCATGTTGACGCCGCCGATGAGCAGAGCGAAGTCGTGCGATTGGCCGATTGAGTCTTCCAGGAGGACCGGCAGGTAGTAGATGACTGCATTACAACCGGAGATTTGCTGGAAAACCTGCGAGGACGAGCCAACAATCATCCGGCGGAAGTGCTGCGATGGTCCTCCGGTGAAGAGGTCTCTGAAACTGGCCTTTTGGGCACCGGCACTGGGGCGCACGTCAGCTATGAAAATGTGATGTGCAAAGTAGGGGAGCGTACGCTCGGACTGAGTCTACAATCAACTGCTTTTCCAGCTGTGTATGACGATCGCTTATCTCCGTACCTGCAAGCGCGGCCAGGACCTTCTCGCCGTCCGCGATACGATCCTGCGCAATCAAGTACCGTGGCGACTCGGGGAGATACAGCATGCCCACGATAATCACGATGCCAAAAACAATCTGGAAGGCGATCGGGAACCGCCAGACAAGGTCCGGTGGCCCGTAGTGTGCGCCAAAGTCGATCCAGTAGGCGATCATGGTTCCAATAGCAATAATGCCTCCCTCGATGCAGATCAGCAGACCTCGATTGCTCGTTTTGGAGCATTCGGCTTGATACGTCGGGATGGTCGACGTATTCATTCCATTGCCGACTCCCGTGATGACACGGCCGAAGATGAACTGGAACAGAGGAAGTGAGCCCGTGAATGATGTGACTTGGATAATCACACCAACGATCATCACCGATGCGCCGCAGATGACCATTTTCCGGCGTCCGAGGATCTCGCCGAAGATCAAGGCGAAGATAGCGCCGAATAGACAACCTATCGGTGGTGAACTGGGTTAGGCTCCGCGGTACATAGCGGCGCAGACCAGTACTAACCGACTTCATAAACAGCTGTCACGGTCGCTTGCATGGTGTTGTCGTCTTTGGTTGCTGTAAAGACATTGTTAAATGCCGGGTCGGAGATGATACCAGACATCACACCCTCTGCCATTGTCTCTGTTAGCACGGATCAATCAATCAGCCCGCGTTACTTACGATCGTATCCGAACAATAAGAATCCCATGGTCGCAATGGTTGACACAGTCCAGGACAGTTTCCGTCCGGACATACCAGCAAAAGTGGGCGGCGCCATGGTGACGAATCGGTAATCATTCGACTCGAAGACAGTGTGAGTTGAATTCGTGTAAACATTTTTGAGTCCCTGCGCGAGGCAGACCCATAGAAATAGTCACCTGGCATATGGACAAGAACTATGAAGTCAGAGTGGGCATCGTTCGCTTAGTGAAAGTGAGTAAGTCCATACAGTTCGATACTGAGTTTCCCCATGCGGTAGTTGAAAAGTAGGGCCATAGGCTACCCAAGATCTGCATGGATTCTTTATCCATGGTTGTGGGTCAGTCTTCAAAAGAGAAGTAATTGGTCAATCTTTCATTCTCTTCCTGCTCGATTTCACCCTCGCCTCTGTTGATCTCATCTTTGGCACTTTTGTCTGTCATGAATATCAGCTTGTGAGTACACGAGAGCTGAAGCAGATCATGAATCGCTCGCATACTCTACTCAAATGCTTCTGCTCAGCACTCGAAGTGAGCCTGAGCAGAATTGAGTTTGTAGTGCAGGTGCGGTTTGGATAATACCGCTCATGATGTATTGATGATGTCTTTTTCGAGGATTGGCACCTAATTCTCCAGAGAAGAGGAAGTGTGTTTGGCTCGGATTCAGAAACGGAGGAGAAAGTGATGTAATTGATACCCACCACACGCTAGCCCTAAGTACCCACAACCGTGCAAAGAACTATTGATGAACCATGATTTCCGAGCTTGGTTGCACAAACTCAATTCCTCGGTAAGCTTGTCCCGTTCTTGGTATTGGAGATCCTTACGGTCATTATTAATTCCGATAATTCATCGTTCCATTCGTTAAACTGACTTACTTGATCAGAGATTCTGAAGGCATACAGGAGGCATAGATGAACCATACATGAGGCAGACTTGAGGCAAGAGTGAACCGGTCACCCTGCAACACAAGTATGCAGACGAGAAAGGAATCTGAGATGAGAATGAAATTCGTTTAGTCTCCGAGGTCCAGATTGCACAACGCTTCAGGACACTCGCAATTCAACATGGGGCAGATCGACGCCATGCTAGCCGGAAATGACGGGAAAGTGATCACAATTTGTCGCTTTGTCCAGCAGTGAACAGGTTGCTCAGAGCCCGCTGCAGATACAAAACTATGAGCATTCCGATCTGACAACCATGTGAACTGTGAAGGGAGACAAGTCTCAGCGCGGCGAGTGGAGAAGATCCAAGTCAATAGATATCAACGATCATAGATCATGATCAATAGTCGACGCTGGGGCATCCGGGGAAAGCAATGAGTAAACCGGCAAACGCTCCTCGCAGTAGAGAGGCAAGGTTGTGTTGCCTTCATGAGTGTAACACGAGCGAAGCGTCAAGGGGACCAGTCGTTCAAAAGGTTTTGTAGCGGGCCTGCCATTGATAAAAACATACACCTGAAACTGTATTCAAATAGTCAGATTAAAAACAGCTCACACCAGGCCTGTTGACCCAAAAGGAACAGTTTGTCACCACAGTATAGAAAGCAGGGCAGCCATTAAGGTGAAGCAGGATGTGGAAAGCATGGTTTTGATCAGGGTAGTCTTACCTCAAAGAAGTGTGACACCGCCACACTCCGAAGTTTCGTGTCATAGTGCATGTATCTGAATTCTGGAGCACCTCTGTGCGATTTGCACTTAGGCATCTTTAGCTCGAAGTCGAAGCCAATCGTTTCAGTAGGAGGAGGGGCATCGCCGTCAGGAGTGTCACAGTTGTTAGAAGATATAGGGAATCTTGTCGATTTTGTTTCAAAGATGTTGAGCTCCTCTTCAGAGACTTCGCCTCCTTGTTGCGAGTGCACATCCGGCCTGAGGCCGTGATTCAAAGTCTCATATAGCAGTAACTTTTTATAAGGAGCCTTACCGGCCCGCGTCCCGTCCCGCATGAAATATCTGACGTCCTCAACCAGAAAGACCTGAAGTTTGCGGAACTTGGTGTCATTGTATCCTTTGTACTTGAATGAGCCGGGAAGGCAATCTTCTAAAGCGATGCCTTTCCTCCGCAGGGTAATGTCCGCATGCAAAACGCGGTCAACATGCAAAGCCCAATTGCCGCCCACGGAGTCTTCGACGTACGCATCGGTAGGGCAGCGAACAGCGTCGACCTCAGTCGATTTGTACATGCCCCGGAGCATGGAGTGACACTTGACGCTCGCTTTGAGATGATAGCGAACTATCGTTCCCTCAACGAATGTAGATTCGGGGAGACCGGAATGCAGTATCATTTCGAAATCATAAGAGTACTTTCCAGGCGCAAAGCATTCGGGGCTGAGATCTGGGACGGTTTTTGGGGAACGCAGACGGAGCTTCTCAACAATGTTGTGGAGCATGTTGAACTTCTTCTTCGGCCCTTCAATTTCCGTGACAGCTGCGGTGAGTTTCTCGGGCTCTTTCGCCTGATAATGGAACTGAGATTTTGAGTCCTTCTTCGAATTAAACAGTGTCAAAGCACAATTGACAACGCTTCCCATTTCGCGAACTCCTGTCCCAAGAGTTGATGTTAGTCAACACAGCCGGCATGGGGTATAAGGGAGTGGCTAATGCCAGTTCTTACGGTTGGGCCATCTGATATACGAAAACCCATCCAGGGCCACCACGACCTGTTTGATTTTCAGCGGCCGTTTGACAATCAACGTGCAGCGGCCCCGAAGCACAACAGGTCTGTTGCCCGTGGCCTCGGGAAGGAAAAAGGCAGGCTCAGTCAGTTCCAATACAATAGCCAATTTCCTCTTCTTGTCCAAGTCGCGAAGTATCTGAGTCACGACAGTAGGAGTGTCATTGTGGAACCAGTACATATCAATTGCTGACTCCATCTTGCCGTTGAAGGGGTGGAAGAACAAAATGAAGCTGCTCGTAATGTGAGCTCTTGAAGATCCCTTCAAGGCAGGAATCCTCGAAGTCTTAAAGTGATGGTTCTAAATCTCTTGAACACATGACCGACGTCAGTGTTGCTTCCAATCATCCTCCGATTCGGAGTAAACTTCAAAATATTACATCAAACGACAGTCGAGAATTGTAGAACTTACCCTGTACTGTGTAACCGAGAGCTTGGTACCATGAAAAGTCTATCCCGGAGAGCTTATTTGGAACGATCGATTGGCAGAGCCGTGGGAATATTGCTTTGTAGTACCGAGGAGCGCGCAGAAGGAAGGTCATGCCTCTACTGAGAAAATGAAAGGAGAAAAAGAGAAGATTATTAGTGTTCAGGTGACATCGCATCGTTTGATTTGATAATCGCAAATCATGAGCCAGTGCCGGCATAAACAAGTAAAAACTCGCTTTTGTACCTAGATGAGTGATGTTGCTATGAGGTGCAGAGTGAATGAACCCATGTGAACAACCCATTCTCCTGTATATTGAATAGATAATGACTAGTATATCTTACAAAGGATGTGAAACTATACTATGGTACATAAATATATGGAAGTTATACAAGGAATCATGATTAAGGGAGGAGGCTGTAGTGATAAGGGCTATCTAGCTCTCCCCAGGTGCGGCAAGGCCGGCAAGCCCTGCCCGAATTGTGGGGTATTTCACGCTAGCCGCTCGGACCACATGGTATTCAGACCAAGAGCTCTTATCTTTACGCCGGCTGAGTAAAGGAGTTTTTCCTCATATCTCGTTATCCTTGTAATCGGAGGGTTGACCTTGATAATAGCACTTAAATCATAGAATTTTGGTGGCAGGCTTTGACGAACCACGGCATCCAGGAGCTTCTCAATCTATGAGAACGTTTTTGCACCTTTTCGGTGGTTAGCTGCAAACTAAGGGGTTCAGAAGAGCAATTTTCGCTTGAGCCTCGAGCATTTTCTGCCAGGCCTGTTTTGCTTCAAGTCCTAGACTTCGTAACGATGTCCAAATATTGTTTGTCCAGGTTGTTGTGATCCCGGCTTCCGCATGATCACCTGCAATGTTTATGAGATGTTATGTTCCTATGTATCAGGACTGTCTCTGCAGTAATTTGTGGCTTGGTAGTCATCTTGATATATTCATGGTTGTGATGCAGACAAGGTTATCCCGGAACACCAATCGACCACAACGAAGTATTCAACCAAGAAGAGCCTCGAGAGAACTGCTACCAGGTAAGATATATATTCCTGCTCTATTGAGATAGATGCTAAGACCTTCTAAGTGAATGTTACCATTCTAGAAGAAGCGACGGATAGAGCTCTTGGAACTATTGAACAAGCAGATATGAGCGAATCCTCGATATACAAAGCACCGAAACTACAACTCGTCGCATAATTACAGGTGATATTTATTTCTCAAGTCTTCTACAATTTACATGGCATTTTCTTCAAGATTTCATCGAAAGTCGCCAACCGCGTTCTGCATATCCAGAGGCCAAGCGAGTAACGGACACTACTGCTTACAGACAACATACCAGGCCTTGATAGTCCTTTTAGTCTCCTGGTTCAATGAGTTATATGCCTTGGTAACTTCGTGGTACATTTAACATTCCTGACATTGAGAGCTAACCTCGGAGGAGCAATAAACCAGAAATTCGTTTCTTAGCACATGCGAGTAAAACAAACACAGAATCATCAGACACTGGCACACATACCTTCAAGATGGCCGTTCTCAAGTTGCATGATACTTGGAATTTCGAACAGCTCAGAGAATGAACCATAAGAGTTCGAGAGTCGGGGAACGACTTCTGGCGACAAGGCATTGAATTATAAGACACAAATCAAAGAATCATTCATCGAGTCATTTCGACCACACGGACAATGGAAGAAGGGACAGTTAATATCTCATCAAGATCTGTCCTCGTGCATTGCCCATACAACAAGTTATGACTCAATAGCTTGCTCTCTATAGAGACGTTGAAAGCTGGAGAATCACAAACCATAGTAGGATAGTTCAAGCGACATCCCAATAAGCTCTTGCCATCCGTCCTCGGATGCACCCATGTCGCAAAGGGGGCAAGCTCACACCTAATATAAGATATTGCATATAACTGTGCACTACAGTTCCTTAAGTGTGTCTGAGTTTCGTGAGCTCCCTCACCCGTCCATTATAACAGCTGATATAGGTGCTGTAGTAGGCGCAGGAGGCATTGTAGGCAGAGTGGGAGAGGGCCATGGTGCTTTACGCATATCATGCACGCCTACGCCAGGTCGCAATTGGTATATAGAAGCAAATGACGGAGGCATACGGAGTAATTCTCAGGCAGAGGGGCTTCGCAGAGTTCTGTAGAGCCTCAGTCGAAAGGTGTGCTCAGATGGAAATACCAGAAATCAATTGTGGAGATACCCGTGGGTCCCCCTATCCGGATGACGCTTTTACCCCGACAAAGTTGAGGGGTTCTTATGCAATGCAAGGATTGCGAGGTAAGCCTAGGCAAGCGCAAACACTTCTATGTTACTCTGCTTATATCTACTCGCTACCTTGCTAGCATCAGTCTCGAGTTCCGGGAGCAGATCACATTGCTTCTCCGCATGCGACCATGATCAGCGGCGAAGACGGGATTCTACCTGCACGCAAAAAGACGAAGTAGTCGGTTGTTTGTAACGACAAACGGAAGAATAAAAATAGGCTCCTTGGTAAAAGTTTGAAGATTGATTTCACTTTTCAAAATCTGTGGGTCACTCTGCATTGTAAATTAGTGATAATTTGTTTGAGATTTGACTGTCGTTACCTACTCTGGGAAACATCTGTCACCCTCTGTTTTAGGGAGTTTCAGAGGAGGCAAATTGCGGTTGCGACCGTGGGCCAGACCAACAGTCAAACCAAGAGTCAAAGCACCAACTCCTAGTTGAACTAGAGATTTGGCTACCCATCACCCAGTTGTCTTGGTGCTATCTACTCTAACCATTTTTGCGTGCTCTAGTTTGCTTTCCCCCTCCTCATCCTTGCCTGACTCGTCAGTCCTGTTACTGAGACTACTACCAAGTAGTCCTCCAACTCCTACGACTCCACCTCTGTGATTCCTCCTTTACGTCTCCTCCTTTACGCAAGTGCTCTGTTGCACCACCATAATTCCATTTTTTTTATCTATCTATTGATATCTCTGCTTCTTCTTCTCTGTATTTTTCAGTTGCGAGTTCTTGAATGTATTCGTCGGTTGCCTCCCTCCCACGCCTCGTTTAAAGCGACTCTCTCGCCAGCCGTTCCCCCCATCAAGGACTCTGTCCTAAGTCCGCGGAAGGCACATCCAATCGTTTCTCACCTCTTTCTTTGACTTTGCTATTCTCTCACTTCTACTCTAATCCCACGATTCGATCGTGAACTGCGATTTGAAACGCACTCGAAATGTCTTCTAACGACCCTCACCCTCCGCCATCGGACATCGCATCACCGGGGATCAAGGACGAAGCTCCCTCTGCAACGCTCGAATCCCCTCAAGAACCGCAGCAACAATCGCAAACTTCCGCAGTCTCTTCTTCGGAACCTGTTCAAAACGCCGCTGTTCCTGATACACAGAGCGATCCCGAGAACACCCAGAAAAATGATAATGCGGACAGCACCCAAGCCGCTGGTGTCCACGATAGCAGTACACCGATTATCACCGCCGAGCAGAGCATCATCGACGCTTCTGCAACAAATGACAAACCCCCAGATACCACAGGACTAGATACAACTAATACGCCAGCGCCTGAGCCATTATCAGACGCATCAGACGCCGCCGCGAAGGAAGTGGAGGGTTCCGGCCCGTCGTTGACCATCACGCTCCTTTTAACAACAGGATCTCGCCATCCTTTCGAGATCGATGGGAAATATTTACAAAAGCGGGGTATCAACGTCGAGGGTAACGATCCGTTTGCTATGAGTGTATACACACTGAAGGAACTGATCTGGAAGGAATGGAGACAAGGTAGGAGCGGAGCTGTCGGCATCCACTGCGCAACGCAGAATAAGAAGGCCGGACCGTGTGCTGATGATTTTACGTGTTTGACAGACTGGGAATCGCAACCAACCTCTCCAAGCTCTATCCGATTGATTTCGTTTGGCAAGTTGCTAGACGACAAGTCCCCTTTATCAGGTAGGCGACGAACTACGTAAACACTGCTCTAGACTTCCGGCTGATGTTGTGCGTCTCAGACTGCAAGTTCAACAAAGATGCTCCCAACGTGGTACATATGACAGTCAAGCCTCAAGAAATTGTCGACGAAGAAGACGCCAAGGCAGCCAAAGCTCCGTATAGCCGGGAACGTGAGGCCAGTGAACGCAGTCCTGGATGTCGTTGTATCATCCAATGATATCTTTAAGCCTTCGCACCATTAAAGGAGGGTGATGTGTCTTCTACGACATGTGGTGATCTCCATATCTGTGCTTCTTGTTCATATCTGCTTGTCTATCTTTCGATCATTTCCGTCTCTTTTGATACATGGTATCTGATTTGTCATATTGGCTGACCATACGCAAGGGCTGGCGTCATGGATAATCGCGATTGTGCTCTAACATCTGGTTTTTGCGGTTTCTGATTGTATTTTCCCGTTCTACCTCTCTGTTTCGCATCATATGTACAGGCTTCGATTGCGTCTTGTCTCCCATCATCCGTGTCCCTATATACCCCTTCTTTCCCATCTTGCCATTTATTCGTCTCTAGTCTCGTTCTTAGCTGACAACAACGTCATGGCCCTCTGGTTTACTCTTGTCCGGTTACTGATTATCCTTTCTGGTGGCTTTCTCTTGCTCTTGGCATTTGCCCAAACTACCCCAAGTACTCCTTTCATTCAAGCGTCTTCCCAAACTGTTACGGTGGGTGCTGCTGGCAATCGTCCTCTGACATTGCTATCGGTCTGGCAGAATCCAGACTGCCTCATTCTCACTATTCAGAGAGCAATGTATAGTCTGATCGTCGCTCAAG